GCCCCATCCGGACGTGGACCGACCTCAGCTGGCCATCACCCGCTGAAGGGTACTTCCGGTCTGGGAGCAGGGTCGGCTAGTCCCCCGCCCCCCGCAGGTGTGAGGAGCCTGCTGCTGAGTCAGACTTGGGGGGTTCGTTCGGGGCCTCTCTGTCTGTTGGCTCTGAAGTTTGCCCACTTTCGGGCTTCCGGTGCTGTGAGTCCCAGCTGGAGGGTACCAGAGGGACAAGGGGACTCGCACCCGTGACAGAAGGGTACTTCCCCTCTAGGCTTCTCCCCCACCACTGGCTGACGTGTACTTTTCGTGGCCCTCGTCCGGCTGCTCAGAGGACTTGGGGTTTTATTCCCCCGCTCAGTTGGGGTGGGGGGCACGCCCGCTCCGTCTGCCCTAGAACCAGAACCTGACCCCCCGCCCACTGCACCAACCGAGGGCCACCCGCCTGTCTCCAAAGGGGGTTTCCTCTGGGGAAAGGCAAGAAGCGTTGGGGCCCCTGCCCCTCATTTGCTTGTCTGCCTCCCTGACATGAGGGGTCACAGACTCTCCATTCACGGAGGGATTGGGCCTGACCGCCAAGCCCAGGGGTCACCCCTATGTGGGAAGGGCCAGCAGAGCCGTGCCATGCACTGCCAGGAGTTGGGCAGCTGGACGCCAAGAGCAGAGTGGACGTGTTGGTGGGCTGAGTGTTCCCTGAAGGGTCTGTACCCAGCCCTGCCCTGGCCCCCACACCGCCCCTGCCCTCACTGACCTGGCTCCCGGGTCCGTGCTCCGCCTGGGGGAGGGCAGGGCTGCTCTGCCCCTGCCATCGCCGCCTATGCAGGCCTCGTGGGGGACCCAGGTCGGGGGTGGTGGGCTGCGATGGCCAGAAGGACCTCCCAGGACACAGCATCTTATTTCCCAAACTCCTCGTGGCTTGCATGGCCCTGACCTCATCCAGGACACACAGGGCACCAGGCAGCCCTTTCATGTCCCAAACTACTCCACATCCGAGGTGCCTCCTACTTCGCAGAGTTCCCCACAGCTGGATCAGATGGGGCTCTCGACTCAGAGCCTGTTCAAACAGACAGGAATTGGCAGCTCCATAAATCCCCAGCAGGGCCTACTTCAGGTCCAGGTGGATCCAGGTGGTGGTCACTTGGTTCTGTAAATGTCCCACCTTACTCTCCAGCTCCTGCCCGTGGTGCAGAAATTGGTGCTCTCAGGACTTCAAGGCCAGAGGCAGAAAAGTTTGGAAGTCGACTGGGTCCAGGAGAGCACAGAGAAGGGGCCCATGCAGGAGAGGGTCCCTGCGGAGGGACTCAGCCTGGAGGCAGGCTCAGATGGAGATCTGCCTGCCGGGAGCGGATGGGGGAAGTGGATGGGAGCAGCTCATGTTGGGAGTTGGAGGGCAGATGGAGGGGCTGCATGGTCCCAGCAGCCTCAGCGGCTCCACGGGACCTGGGGTGGCCCTGCAGGGTCATCCCAACCTGGGGCAAGGGGCTCCAGCACATGTCTCCCAGTCCCGGGTGTGGACATCCCTCAGATTGGGAAGTGCTTTCCCTAGGGCCAGTCCCACGGTGGAGCCAGCAGGGCTCAGAGGCCGGAAGGGGAATCCGGGGATCCCACGGAAGCCACTGCAAATGCCACTGGGGAGGGGGGCGGGCACGACAACCGAGCACCCAGTTGGCTCCCAGGTGAGGAGGTGGCCCTAGGACGGCTCCAGTGCCTCCTTCAGGCCAGGACTTGAGCTCCTGGGAGCAGGGAGGTGCCGGGGAGGAGGTGGGGTCCTGGGGAGGACAGGGCTGTGGGGACATGCACAGGGTCCCTGGCCTCTGCACAGTGCCGCCCCAGCAGCCTACGAAGCACCCCGAGAGCCTTGTGACGTGGAGGGGACCCAGACCATGGGGTGCTCCATGGGGAACTTTTAGACACACACCGGCTTCCAGACAGAACTTGAGCACGGGTCCTGCCTGGGGTTTAGGGACACGTCCTACCTGGGAACGCAGGCTGAATGCCGACCCTGGTCACACACTGAGCCTGGACCTCCCTGAACATCCCTCTGGCAAGACGGTGGCTGCAGGGAAGCCTGGGAAGGAGACACAGAGGGCGGTGGGGGGGGAACCCCACTCCTGGATCTGAGAGGGAGGGCAGAGCGCCCACACTGTGAAACACTCACAGTGACTCACGCGGCTCCTCCTCACTTTATTTTTATCCCCATCAAGCCCTGTAAATACAGCGACGATCACCAAATACAGTCAACGTGCCCGACGCCGCCTGCCCCTGGCGCTGGCTCACGGTCACCAGGAGAGGCCGGTGAGCAGCACACCTGCATGGCTGGGTACCCAGGGCACTTGGGGAGGGTGCTGGATCCCCAGCCCAGACCCCGGGGACATACCCCACGACCCCGACCAACCGAGACAGCCTGACACCCCCCTACTTTCTTCTCGCTTACGGTGCAGATTACACAGTGCTCCTCCTCCATTGGGGCCCAGGGCTTGTTTTCTGTCAGAGAGGTGGCCGAGGGCCGGGTGGTGGCCTCGCTGGTCCGTCTCCCCACCCTGAGGCCTGCGGTGGGACGGGCCAGGGTCTCACTGGCTCTGCCACTGCTGCCCGCAGTGCTAGGGTCAGGATAACCTGTGAGTGGGTGGGTGGGTGGCATGAGGTGAAGGCTGTGAAGTGGTCAACAGCAGCAGGATGGGAGACGCCATAAGGCTTTATCATTGTGCACCTTTCACCGGCGAGGAACCGAAGCCGAGAGGTGGAGCGGCTTGCTCAGGATCACACAGAAAGGAGGAGGGGGAGCCGGTCTGGACCAGGACCAGTCCCCCAAGTCTTCTGGGCAACCTCGTCAGCATCTCTGGAATAACAAACTGTACCCCACGGCCTAGCACGTTGCCTGTCATTGGAAGGAAAGACTGTTGAATGAATAAGTGGTGGCGGAGAGGGTGAGATTAGATTTGGCAAGAGAGGGGAGGGGATACTGTGCCGGGCAGCAAGCGCCGGTGGTGGGTGTGGAACAGACAGACTGTGGTCCTTGGGGTGTGCAGCTGCTCTGCCTTCTTGAGGGACAAGGACGAGCAGGCTCTGCCACTTCCCAGGCCGGCAGCAAACTCCTTCGCGGGGGATGTGATGAGCAGACAGCCCTGTGCACTCCTGCCATGGATTCCTTTTACTTTTTTTTTTTGCCACTCCTGCTTGGCGTTAACTACCTTGGGAGGCTGTTACAAGTCTCATGCTGCACTTATTCTCTAAGAGCCTGGTGCTGTGACAGTTGGTCTCAAATGGCTGGGGGCCAGGTACCTGCCTGGGTGGGACCCCCCAGTTTGCTGGCCCAGTGCCAGCCCCGACCCAGCACGCATCCCCTGGTGACGTCACCCCTGTGCAGTGACCAGGCAACGGTGCCACCCTCCCACACAGCCCTTACCAGCTTCGGCTTGGGCGGTCTCCGTGGACTCCCCCATGAAAACCTTGGAGAACACAGCCAGAAAAGCATGTCCCTGGTCAGCGTCACACAGCCAAACAGGCAGGTTTGTTGTGGGAACACAGACTCAGTTCCATGGGGAAGCCACCTGAAAAACAAGGCCAGGAGCGCAGCTCACCCACTCACTCACTCACTCACTCGCCGCTCCTGAGATTCGGCCTGCGCAGGCACCCCCCGGATGCCTGGGGCGTGAACGCACGCTGCCAGGGACCCACACCTTCAGGGCAGCGGTGCCAGTGATGCGCACAGCGGCTGGAATTCACTGGGAATGAAGGGCGCAGGGGCTTGTTTCCCCTGTGATGAGGAGTCTGGGGTGCAGTTAGTCCCAACGGCAGGGAGGCTCGCCGGCTCAGCCCCTCCACGGACAGGGTTTGGTGGTTGGTGACAATGCCGCTTGCTGCTGTCCTCAGGGCTTGCCCTTCGGGGACCTCAGCAGGCCTTTGCTTAGAGCAGCCGCAGTTAGAAGGCCACCTTCCATCTGGCACGGGAGAACGATAAAGGGCATGAAAGGGGTACAGGGGATCGATGTCATGTGTGGGCCCCTCTCCTGCCCAGGTGTGGCTGTTGGTCCACCTGTGGGGAAACAGGCTCAGAGAGATGACCATGCGGGGTGCGGACCCACAGGCACACAGGCACCGGCCTCAGGATCCTTCCTGGGTTCCCAGGTCCCTTCCTATGGTGTGTCGCCAGGAGGGCCAGGGGCGCAGTGGTTCCGGAGGAGGGTGGCCCTGGGGCTAGGAGCCCCGTGCCAACAGGCAGGCCGGCCCCCCGAGGGTGCAGGGTGCAGCCGCGCAGGGAAGGGGCCACTGGGGATGCGACTTGGGCACAGCCCCTTCGGCTCCGTTGGGCATCAGTGTGCGGGCTACAGCAGGCACCTCTGGCTCCGACCCTTCGGTGTCGGATCGGGCCAGGAGCCTGTTCCTGGAGAGCCTGTGAGGCCTGGCCCTGCGCGCTCCTTAATTTCACCTTCACCGTCACCCCGTCTACTGATGGGGAGAGACTGGGGTTCGGGTGTGAGAGTGAGGAGCAGTCTTCCACGGCCTGGGAAGACGCGCAAGCGCTGGTGGAAGAAGCCTTAAGGCGGGTCTGGTTCCCGTCCCAGGCCGTTTCCGGCTGCCCGCGCGGGACACTCTGGGACTTGTAGTCCCGGGAGCACACAGCCCAAGGCGTGTCCGCAGCTCCGGCAGCCCATTGGCTGACGCCAGGCGTCGGGGCGGACCGGACGGAGGGTGCCCGGCAACGCAGCGCTGGGCCGGCATGGGAGGGGCCGTCGCGTGATGTTTGGGTGTCGGCTCCGCCCCTCCCACTGCCCCTCCCGCTGAGAGCGCAGGGAGCACTCCTGCGGGAGACCCAGGCCCAGGTGAGGCGGGGGCGGCCGGGGCAGGTCAGCGAAGGCCAGGCAGGCTGTCCCGGAGGGCGCGAGGCTCGAGGCCGGGGCGGGCTGGGGTGGGTTGGAGGGGGCCCAAGGGGTCCGCGGGGTGGGGCAGGCCGGCAGAGGCGGGGCCGCCGTGGAAGGGGGCGTAGCCGCCCTCGGCCCCGCCTCCCCCAGGGCAACGCTGCAGGACGCAGCGGTGGGAATTTTCGACCTCCACCGCGGTTATGAGCACTCACGGTACCCAGGCGGTGGGCGTGCGCTTTCTCTGAGGCCCCGGTGCCCACCTGTTGGGCGCGAGGGTCGATTCCCAGTCCCCAGCGGCTGGGAGCCGGCCTTGCAGGGAGAGCCGGACCCTGTGCGCTTTCCTGTTCTTTTTCCAAGTTTGGCTTAAAAGGTGCCTCCGGGTACTGAGGGTTAGGGCTTCGCGCCCTAGGAGCTTCCAGGTGGCTGTGATTTGTACCTCCTCCCCGATGCCCGCCAAGGTCTCCAGTTGGTAGACCCGTGTCACACTCGGAGCGGTGGCCACTGGCCTTACGTGGCACAGGTATGGACACTGTCGCCATCCCACAGCGTTCTGGGTGCCAGAGTGCTGGGCGGCCGGGCCTGCAGCCATGGCGCCTACCTGGCTCCCTTTCCTTCCTTGCCTGCCCACGCCCATCCTCTGAGCTCCCCCATCCTCTGAGCTCCCCCATCCTCAGAGCGGGTCTGGCCGGCTTTCCTGGCCACCCTCTCCCTGCAGTGTTTCCTGTCTCGGGGGCCTGCTCCTTCCTGTTCTAGCGTTTCAGGACCCGGGTCCTGTCGCCACTGCTTATTGCTTGTGTCCTGGTTCATCTTTAGTCCTCGTGAGGCGGACACTGGGGTAGTTCCTCACTGCACCCCAGCGTGGACAAAGTGTGAGGCTGAAGGAGACAGGTGAAGGCCGTCAGTGTCAGCATTGGGGCGCTCGGCTGGTTCTATCAGTTCTTTCACGTGGTACAGCCTGACAGGTTGTAAGTCCTTGGTGGGGATCCAGCGCAGAAAGTGCCTGCCCAGGCCAGCACAGGTCAGGAGCTAAGTGGTGACTGCAGAAGGCTGTGGGAGGTCAGCAAATCCCAGCAGGCTTCCTGGAGGAGGAGGTGCTTCAGTCAGACTGCCAATGCATCTCCCCTTCTCTGCTGGCCTGGCTGCCCTGGCTGTGTCCAGGCACCTCACCTGGGTGCTTGCTCCTTTGCAGTCCTGGGGTGGGTGCTGAGGCACAGGAACTGCTGCCTGGGGGCTCACGGGTCAAGGGTGGGCCGTGTCCTCAAGTTCTTCCCTGCCTCCTGCGGGGAGAAGGCTGGGCTCTGGCTCCTCCCTGCGCTCCAGCCGTGTCTTCCTTGGTGTGTTTCGTGGGCTGCGTTGGTGCAGGAATCCTGCCTCTTGCACGTCCCGCGTGTTTTCTCACCAGTGTGAGTGTGTTGATGCCAGGCCCTTGTTCTCTCGACATGTCTTTGGAAGCCCTCCTGTCCCCTGCCACCCCGGGGGTGGGTTCCCCCCATGTATGCTGCTGGCCATGGCCCTGCGTGCCGGCTTCGCCTTTCTGTGCTGCGCTGGTGCCGGCTGTGCCTGCCTCCCACCGTGGCTGGGCAGGGGGCCTCTGTCTAGGTCACCTTGTGTCTGAGCCCCTGGCCCGGTGTCTGGAGCCTGGTGGGCACCCAGCAAGTCTTCATGAGTGGACCGGACATAAGAGCAGGCAAAGAGGACACGGGGAGACCTGCACCTGTGGTGAGGGGCCTCCTCAGCACGTGGAAAGCTTGAACTGGGGTGACGGGACTTCCCCTCTATTTGTGGAGAAGAGACTCAAACTGACAAGGGTCCATGGAGCCATACGTGACAAGGACCAGGTGCGTGCTGCAAGGTCCCGGGGACGGCCTTTCCCCGGCACGGGATCTGAGCCTGGCCCTGTAGCAAGGCGGTGTGGTCCACCACAGAGAGGGGTGGACATTCTGGGGGTGATGGTGCTGGCTGCCTGGGCCCTGTCCTGAGCAATTAGGGTCAGCAACTCAGGCCACGGGGACCGTGACCCGGGGGAGGACCTGTTGGCGCCGTATCACAGCAGGAACTGAGGCTCGGAGGGGTGAACTCGCCTGGTCCCCGGATCTCGAAGCTCTGAGATGCCATCTGCTCCACCCCCGACGTTCGGAGGCATCCCAGGAGGTGGGGCGGTCTCTGCGCCGGCTGGTGTCTGGACACCTGACCAGGTGGCCGGGGCTCGGATTGTTCCGTCTCTCTTCCCGCACACAGGCCTGCCTGGGGCTGCAGGGTTCTCTTTGATTGTGTTATTTGCTGCCAGCGGCATTTCCCATGGGGCTCAGTCAGGGGTAATTCATCACATTCTCTCGAGGCTGCTCTGTGCCATGCGAAGGGCAGCCTTGCTGGTGCTGTGAAGGCGGCTCCCCTGCTGGAGCATCCATTCCCGCCACACTGCCCTGCGCTGCCTGGCTCCTGAGTGTGTACTGGGCCCGTGCAGGGGGCTAGCAAGGAGGCCAAGGGGAGAGAGTGAGCAGAACTGAGCGGGGACGGGGACGCCGCCTCCAGCTGTCACTGTGGAGTCGTGCAGGTGTGTCTGCGCCCTGCCCAGAATGTCCTCGTCCTCTTTGGGTGTGCCGAGGCCGGCCGGGGGCTGCTAGGGCACTGGTCCCACTGCTCAGGCGAGGGGCTTTGGGGCTCAGAGAAGGCTCCCCCCCGCCCCCCGTGCCCCGGGCTGGGGCTCCAGGGCACTGCCACAGCTGCCCCTGCCCTGTCTGCCCCCCCACCTGCTGGGAGCTGCGTCACACCCAGCTGTGGCCCGGCCTGAACCGGTGAGCACCTGACGCCTGTGTGTTGAAGTGAGGGGTCGTGACAGAGCTACCCGAAGCGGGGTCAGCTCCTGCTGTCATGCTTCCTGTTGTCCTTGCCTGTGCGGCCGGCCGCACTTTCCGTAGGCAGGGTGTCGCCTGAGTCCTGGAGGACGTGACCGGACAGTGCTTGGTTTAGGTCGGGAAGTGTGACATTCATCACGGAGACGGGAGGGCGGGCCTGGCAAGGCCGGATGACAGGTGGGCAGGAGGCGCTGCCTGGGGCCTCGCTGGCTCTCCCTGACCTGGGCGGCGCGCCCGGTCAAGGAGCCACCAGGCATCCGCAGGGTTGGGGGCAGGTGTTGTGCGGAGCCTGTCTGCCTGCCCTCCTGCCCCCCGAGCCGGACCCTGGCTGTGGTCTGGGGTGCGCAGCCTGAGCCTGCACTGGCTAGGGAGCTAGACTCCAGGGCTGCACCCTAGACTCCAGGGCTGCAGGGTGCTGGTGAAGGCGGGGGTGGGAGCTCTGTGCGGACGACCCGTGCTGGCCAGAGCTGGCCAGAGGGGGCGGGCACGCCCACTGCCTGCACCCAGCACCTTTGGCTGCCCTCCCCTGGGTCCACAGTCTGTTCTAGCCGAGTACTTGGCAAGGGGTGTCCTGTGGAAACCACCGGCAGCCTAGAGTCAGCCTCTGCAGCGAGGCTCAGTGGCGGTACCCGAGGAGCCGGCGCCTTCCCGCAGGGCCGCCCTCCTGGCACCCACAGCCGAGGTGCTGATGAACTCAGGGCCTGCTGGGGGTGGCAGCGGGGAGGGGTCTGGGAGGGCTCTTCTCACTCCGCTCGGGGGTCGCTGACACTGCCTGTGCTCATGGAGCTGCCTCCCGCCCTGGGCGTCTGCAGCTCCTGGAGATTTGACCTGATTGTGTTCTCAGCCCCTGGTTGACCTGCAGGGCCTGTGTGTCGGCTGCCCTGGGTGCCAGCTCTCTGCCCTTGCCGAGAAGGCCTGGCGCCCCGTATCAGGCGAGGGGGCCCTGTGCAAGCCTGTGGGGCCTCGGGGCTGTGGGGTCTTCGGGGCCTGGGGGGCTGGCACCCTGGCCGGCCTCTCCTGTTTGTTCTGGCTGCAGGAGTCAGGGCACCGGGAAGGCTGCAGACGGGTACAGCCTCACGGGGCAGGTCGTGTGTCACCTTGTGGTTGGCAGTGTCGGGCCCCCGTGGTTGCCCCTCACCTATGCCTTTTCTGTCCCTGTGGCCCCAGGACAGGAGGAGCACACAGTAGGTGCTCCATAAACACTCATGCAAGCTCAGCTGTCCCCAGGTAGCAGCCTCTGAGGTGCTGGGGCCACCTCCACATGCCCAGGTGGCCGGCAGGGCCGAGGGGCATTGACCGCAGGGTGGGCCGGCCCTGATCAGGTGCTGCACGCCGGCGGCGGCACCTGCTGCTCAGAACAGAAGGAGAGGGTGGCCGGGAGAGTCCAGTGACCTGCCTGGGCCTCAGCACAGCCAGTCCGCCGCTCACTGCTCCCCAGGTCCCGTTCAGGGAGCTGGCGTGGCAGGTTCCGGGCAGGCGGGGCGCGGGGCACTGCAGGGACCCGGTGGGAACTCCCGTTCTTTTCCGTCTTTCCAGTCACAGAGCGAATAGCCTTGTTCCCATGCCGTTCGGTAGAGGGGTCGCACAGGCCTGGCATCCCCGCGTAGGGGGCGGTCAGGCTCAGCCAAGCGAGGGTGTGGCCGCTCGTCACTGGCTGAGTTCGGTGCCTCGGTGCGGCCTGAGCGGTTGGCGCTTCCTTCTCCGCTCACTCTGCGCCTTCCCTCATCTTCAGAAGCTGCCTTCTCGACCCTTTCCCCGTGGACGATGGAAGTCAGCTCTTTCGGGCCGAGGAATTCAGGTCGTCTGCGCCCTGCTTTGTCACTGTTACTGTTTTGCCACGTAGTGGCTTTCGTGGAGTCAAGTTCATCGATCGGTATCCGGTGGCTTTTGGGTTTCGAGTCGCATCAGCAGAAGCTTCTTTTCCTCAAGTTTAACGAGAAACCCGTGTTCCCGTGCAGCCTGTCCCCTGCTGAAGTTCAGTCTCCTGCCCCGCGTGCAGGGTGCGTCTGGCTCCCTTTCTCCCGGACGTCGCACCCTCTCCGACCCGGGCCGACACAGGAGCTTGCGCCCTCCCCCTCTGGCAGCAGCCTGGTTCCCTCGTGCCCTGCGCAGCCACAGCCACGGCCGACGGGTTTTAGAGCCGCCCTGTGTTGCGAGGGAGGCACGTGGCCGAGAGCTGCCTCTCAGCCTGGGAAGTGCGCACGGTGTGTGGGCGCCGTTGGCGGCAGGCCGTGGGGTTCACTCATCCGCCCCTGCCACCACCTTGCTGCTCTTCGGCTCCTGCCCTTGCCTGTGTCGACGCCTCACGTGAGTGGACCGCTCGGCGTCCGGCTTCTCTCCACAGCAGCAGGCTGACCGCCCCGAGGCCCTGTGTGGCCTCAGACCTCCCCTCTCTGTGGGGCTGGGGACCGTCCCCTGGTGGCTGCTGCATTTTCTTTGTCGTCGAACGGACACTTGGCTTGTTCCTGAACTGTGGCTACTGCAAGTGTGGGGCGAGCTTGGGGCCAGGGGTGTCCCTTTGAAACCCCAGTGTCCGTTCTTCTGGACCGATGCTCAGTGGTGGGGGGCTGGGCCAAGCGGTGGAGGCCTGGTTTCCAGTTCTGAGGAGCCTGTGCACTGTCCCCCGCAGCTGTGCCGGTCTGTGTCCCCACCGGCAGCGCCTGGGTCTGGGGGACCATGTGTGTGCTGCCGGCCTCCTGGGTTGAGACCAGTGTCCTCGGAATGTCCCGTGGAGCCCAGGCCACTGGCTCGGACGGTGACTGTGGCCTCGGGGCGACTGGAAGCCCTCCTGGCTTTCTTCCCCTCGTGGTTACTTTCTTCTGACCTCGGTTTGTTCACTTTTGTTGTCCCCGCCCCTGGTGGTGCTTCCTCTCTCTGTGCCCCGGGAAGGCTCCTCTGCCTTGTACGCGTTCCTGGGGGAGCCACGCTGTGGTCCCAGCTCCTCCCCCGAGCCCCCACCCAGGTCTGCAGCTCAGTGGTGGTGGTGGGGGGAAGGTGTCGCGTGCAGGGCCAGCCCTGATGTCCAGGTGCTCTCGGAGACCTCCCACTGCCACACTGTCCCCCACCACACGCGCATGTCACTGTGCTCCCACGGGGGGGGGGTTCTGCTCCGTTGCCAAGGCTCTGGGAAGCCTCAGCTGTGCTCGGAGGACTGCGGATTGTACCCATTTTCTACTTTCTCTGCATATGAAGAGGGGGCTTTTAAATTTATTGTTCGGTTATTTTTTGGGGTCATTCGGGGTCATCCTCATCATCCTCAAGTGCGTTCTAGGAGGAAGTGGGTGTGAGTGGGTGTTGATATTTGAAGTCGGCCTCCTCGTACCCAGTGAACTCCAGGAGCTGTGAGAGTGAAGCAGAGGGTTCTGGGGTTGGAATGGTTGTTGTGGTGCGTGCCCACAGTAGGACTTAACATGGTAGGCACTTAGTGGGCGCTCCTCCAGACCCCTGCTCCCTCCTGCGGGACAGAGGGGGCCAGCCAGTCCTGGCAGGATTGGCTCCAGGCCAGGTGGCAGGGGACCCCAGAGGTGCTGAGAGGGGCATGGACCCAGCTTGCCAGGTGGCTCCGGGCTGTGGTGCTCAGCACCGTGGACAGCTCCCAGGCCGCTGAGGGGTGGGGGTGCAGGTCCTGGGACGCTCCTCTGTCCTCTGGGCCTTCTCCCTTCTCAAGCCTCTGGGGTGAGCACCTGGGTGTGTGGGGCTCCCCTTGTGTGCCAGCCGCTGGCCTGGCCTTGAGCTCGGTGCCTGCGGAGGGCAGGCGGTCAGCGAGGGACGTGGAGAGTTGCCGTGGGTTGGGGGTCGCTCCCCCCTCAGCTGGGGCTGCTCTGTGGAGGCTGGTCTGCACATTCCCCCGAAGGCCGGGCTGTCTGGCGGGGCTGCGTGCCCAGGCAGATGGGGCCGTGGCTCCCCAGCTTGGGTGCAGCCCCCACCCCTGCGTCACGAGATGCAGGCCGAGTCGTCTCGTCCCTGAGCCGCCCCTCATGGCA